TGATAGCTATTTTGAATTTTCCTTCTAGATTCACTTTGACTGTACATTCTGAAGTTAATTTTTCTTCTAACAATAGTTCACCACCTATCTTTGCTGAAATTTCTTATTTTCAGTTTACTAGGAGAACTCTATTGTAGTTAAAGACCAGGATATCTTTCCCCTTAATTTTGGTTTAATTTTCATGGCAGATAAAAGTTCCTGTAGTTGCTGCTGATATCTTTTCTATCTTCCCTTCTGCCAGTTTAGTGAGTTTGACTAGATTTTGTAGTTTGATAAATACTTTTCAAACTAATTTATCAGCCCACACCCCACCCTCCCCAGTGACTTTGGGGTAAGGTTAAGGTTTATAATGCTAAAAACTGGGTTTTGATATCCGTGGTAGGCACAGAAAAGATAACATATTGTGTAGCTTTTTGCTTAACAACAAACAGAATTCAATTTATCATCAACCAAGTTTGTTAACCCATGAAAATTGGTTTCTTTAATATTTGGAATCCAATTTTCATATATATTTATAGCCTCTTTAGCTCAGGATCTTGTTCATTTGTCTTCACAACACTTAATATCTGAAGCTCTTTATTATCTTTTTGGTACAGTCTTGCATTGTTACATTTGACTCTTAACATCATTATTTTGTGTGGCTTGGTTTACTTTGTAACTTGGCTTTTGTGTACTTGGGATTTACTGGACCAAGATGTTTGTTGTACTTAATCCTCTTTATACAGGTTATGGGTTACTCTGTTTTAATGGTCACTGTTGTATAATATCCTTTTAAACTGGAGGTATTGGCTGTATTATTTACTAGCAAACTAATATTCAGGCATGGAAAATTAATCTTTTTTTTTTGGTTATACACTTTTCTGAATCTGACTTGAGAGGTTCTTGGGATATTTTTTTGCACTCCAGTTTAACCTCCTCTCAAGGTTTCACATTGTTTGTTGCGTCTTTGCTTTCTCAAAGGGTGGGTTATTTAGATTCATTACACTTTTAACCTTTCTCCATCAGTCCTTCTTCCACATTTTAAATAGTTAGGGATACAATTTCAGCTTTTTTGATATCAGTGCTCTCTGTCTTATTTTTATTTTACAAGACCCTTGAAGCTTCTAGATGCTCTTTTGAACTGTTATGTGCCAGTCTCGTTCTTTTTTTGGGGGGGGGGTCATTATATTTTTTCTTTCTGAGGATTATGTTATGGTTTGGCTTATATTAACAGACAAGTATAACGAAAAAACACAGTAGGGCTGACTACTGAACTTAAAAGAAAGAACAAACAACACAGAGATGGAAGTGGATATATCACTTGATTGACTAATGATCATATAGCAGACTAAGCCGTCTCGACTTTACTTGGAGAATAAAATCCCTACATTACTGGCTTTCCTACTTTGGCTATCAAAAGCTTGGTGTTTGAATAGAATATCAGCTTTCATAATTTTACCTTAAGTTAACTTTACAATACTACTTTTATTACTACTTTACAATAAAGTAACATTTTATGGTTGGAAATTCTGGTTTTATTTGTTTTGCCAGTGAGTAAGCTAGTAATTTAGGGATTTTATTCTCCATGCTTAATCTGCTATGTGATCATTAGCCAATCAAGTGATATATCCACTTCTATCCCTATCTTGATTGGTTCCTTTTTCAAGTTCAATAGCCAGTCTTACCTAGCTTTTTTAATTAGCAATATTTTTTTTCTTAAACTTGTATATTTACTTTTTTAATTAAATGGCATACATGAGTTTCTAGGTTATAGTGTATTTTGAAGCTTTATAAATTTTCCATACAAAAATAATAGTCAAAGATCATGAGGACTGTTTTGATTTATCAAATTATCATAAAATTATAGTACTGCTAGAATTAGGTAGGCTCTAGGCCTGTTGAAGAAAGATGATGATGAATGAAAATAAGAAATCTTGGTTTTGGTCATTTGCTGGTTTTTGACCTTGCGACGGTCTGGGTAGCTGGAATGCAGCATATACACCAGAGATAGAGTGACTATGGCAGGTAGTTCTTAATATCTAGTTTCTAATGACCTGTATATGTATTGATTTTTTTTTAACTCCTTCACTTCTTACATGGTATAAGGGTTGGCTCCCTAAAGGAACTGATTATATAGTGCACAAAGCATTGAGTATTCTACATGATATAGTCATCTAATGTTCATCTGTTATTAGCTGGTAATTCCTGTTTCACTCTGTACTTAAGCTTTTTAAAGGAACACCAGATTTATCAAGGAGTAATATCATCATTTACACTAGAATTATGATTTTTTTCTGTTTTTTTAAATTTTACATAGAGTAATAATAAAATAGTTAGTAAAAGACTGTGAAGACTGCATTGCTCTATCATATGATGTTAAAATTTATAGTTACTGCTAGAACTAGGTAGGTGCTAGGCCTGTTGAAGAAAAATGATGATGAATGAAAATAAAAAATCTTGGTTTTGGCTGTTTCCCAGTTTTTTACTTTGGGACACTTGCTGAAAAGTGGCATGTACACCACAGATAGAGTGACTATGGCAGGTAACTCTTCATATTTAGCTTCTGATGTCCTGTAGGAAAGAAAATCCAGATGACTTTTGTATTTCTTTAATACGGGTGTCTGTGCCATCCCTAGAGAGAGTGCTTGCACACTCTCCGATTCTATACCTTTCTCAGGAGGAAGCTACAGTGATGGGTGCAAACGTCTTTTTAGGATTTTATTTCCTTCTTTGAAGCAAAAGTGTCAGGTTTTTATGTATATATGGACAATATTCTTTACAGTAGGTGTCTGTGACATGTTGACAATACATTTCAACAATAAATGGATAGCACACAGTCCACTTGTTTTAAAATAATATACTAAAAACAGATCAAATATGTATATCAACTTTCATTACACAGTTAATCACCACAGTTGTATCCGGAGCTTTAAGTAATCATCTCTTTTTGTCTTAAGTCCATACAGGCTGGTTCTGTTATTTTAGAACCCAATTTACGAGACAATATAATCAGTAATAAATTCACTTACATTACCCCGTTCAGTTACTTTAGATCCCATTTTACAAGATAAATTATTTTTCACTACTCTGTTATTACAATACAATCTGTGATTGTTACACTTTAAAAGTCACCACTATACACTCTTAATGGTTAAACTCGTGATCACTCAGTCTATATCTATTTCTTTATTCTTTTACTTCACTTTATTTTACTTTCACTAAGTTACTTACTTGACAAAATTGTTC